AGGCCAAGGATGTATTTTATGATTGTCCATTGTGTAACATAATGTCTGTGTAATTGCCCATCGTGTGTTTTCATGTTAGCCTCTGCAAAGCACGGCCCTTCGTGGCCTTGATCCTGGCCACATGAGAAGTACAGCGGTTGAACTGCTACTTCAGCACTTCAAACGTGGCAGAGCTTCGATGAGAAATGCAAAGGGGCTTCCCCGTCACCCAGTTTTTAAAGCAGAGTTCCCCAGCTGGAGCAGATGGAAATATTGCCCTTTCGTGGCTTTGAACTGAAAGAGGAAGGGGTTTGGGGTGTGGCTGGGGAGGTGTGAGTCCTGCAACTTGGCACGCTGGGCCTGTAGGTGTTTGCGCACTTTGCATGGGCTGGGAAAGCTGTTTCTCAAAGTCAGAATAAAACTGTCCAATGTCATTGCATTTCTGATGCACCCTTTTCAGCTTTGTTAGATATTTCAAAACCAGTGGTATTTTGAAGCAAGAAATCTTGCAGCACAGCTGCAAATTCTTTGAATTCGCAGGTAGTTAAGATTGCTAGAAAGTACTGCATGGTGGACTGGTGGCCGGTGTGTATGCAGTTGTCGGGGTGGGAGGGAGCTGTTAAACCAGAGGCCATAATCTGCAGAGCTAAGAGCGCCAACTAAAATAAATCCTCTGCTTTTGCCTTGAGGAGGCTTGATTTAAATCCCTGTTATCACCGTGATATTTCAGGTGACCATGGCGTGCACGAATGGCATTACTAGATTGTAAAAGATCAGTGCAAAGCAGTGGGTAATAAAGGAGCGTGAAACATCTACTTAAACAGGAGCTGTTAAAACATTCAGACCTCGGTTTTTACTTTCCAGCTGAACAGGGTTCGTTATTTGCACCCGTTTTGTTTGTTTTGCTTTCAGTGCTGCCTACCAACGCAGCACTTTGAATGCGCTATTTGCATAGCAAGGTACTGTGTAGAGTGAGATTAAGAGTAGCAGAATCAGGCTTTAAAGTAGAGCCTCCTTTTAAAAAGATAATTACTTTCTTGATCAAAGCTCTTGTTTTGCAGCCAGCTAACTCGCCCTCCCCTTTTCTCTCATAGTTAATCTCTTGCCTGTGGATTGTGACAAAAGAACGGATGATGTAAGCATATATTTATTTATCTTCAAGTATTGTGGATAGGGGATTCTCACAGCAGAGTAATTATTCTAGGTAACTTCCACCAATATCAGTATCACTGTAAAATTATTATTTCTATCATTTTACAGAAAAATTGTGAGTTGATGAGTTGGAATTAATGGGCCCGATTAAATTAGAACTGTATATGAGACTCCAAAAGATAAAAATTTAAATTCCTAATTATGTGAATCAATTTCTTTAATAGTTGTAACAGAAGCGATATTGGTTTGCAATAAAGCTCTGTTCAGCTCCAGCAATGCAAGATTTAATCCAACTAATTCCCTGAACTCCATCATAAAGTGTTTGTACAGCCCTGTTTCTTTTATCATAGCGTATTATTAGGAGAGAGGAAAATTTTGTATTGGATTCAGAGTTACGGTTGGTCTCCTGTGATGTTCCGGAGGCAAAGAATCCGTCTGTGGTTGGTCGGGTGGGATGTCTGGTGGTGCCGTCTGGGCTATGGGCTGGGGGAGTCGGTGGCCCTTTCGGAGGATGTGCTAGCTCGCTTTTGACTCAGAAACTGCAGATCTTTGCTGCAGGTGTGTGTAATTTGAGCTAGTGGTGCGTGACTGAGCCAAACACCACTGCTGGTATTTTGGTTTGGTATTTTTAGTTAATCTGACCACTGTCCTGTTGCTGTCGGTCTGTTCATGTTTGTTACCTGTTTCTGACTTTCAGTTCTGTCAAGCTAAACAGAAGGACATAATAATGAACATACTGCACGAGCTGTATAACTACTTGTCCATACAAGCTGGTAAGTTCCAATTGTCGTTATAAAACACTTATGAGCATTCAGCAAACTGCCTCTCCCAGCTGTCTGGACATTTTTAACCTCAGTTTGAAGAGAGGGGTTTATGGAACAGTCAGTTCCACTTGAAGAGCTCTGAGAAAGTCAGGTAATAGAAAAATAGAAAAAGATGTGTTTATTTTTATTCTGAATAGTGCTTAGCTAATGCACTCATATCCCTGTGCTCTTATGGAGTGGTCCTTATTTGCACTTGATATATTGGGAATTTGAGGTAGAAATATTCAGTTTTATGGTTCTTTTCTACCAGCATCTTGAAATTGTCTTCAAGACACTCAGAGCCAGTAAGTGTGAGCTGATGTGTTCTTACAAATAAAGTTAAAGCGACTTAAGAAATTGCCAGCTCTCTGCTGAAATGTGGCAGCTGATTATGTGAGTGCCTCTATTTTTTTCTTAGTGCAGAGTAGGACGGGCTCTCTTAGCTGAGGAGCTAACTGAGCACAGCAGTTCAACCAGTCTCTGCTATGTATGAGCAAATCTGGTCCATAACTAGTATTTTGTGATGGAGAAGGCTGCTAGAAATTCAGTGGATGAGTAGAAGCTTGTTCAGCAAGATGTATAACGGTGTTAATCAGTAAAAGTGCTCAAATTCCATTTTCTAGATCTCAGACCTCAACAAAGCTGAAGCCGTTACTTAAGCTTCACAGAATTTCTAAATCTTTTCAAATCAGACTTCAGCCCCTGCAGGATTTCCTCCAGTTTTACGTAGTCTCTCAGCACAGTTTAGTCAACTTTGTGAAGCAAGATTTAGAAGATTTAGTTCCTCGCCAGGATTTCTCTGCCTGGGTAAAAGGCAGAGCTGCGATGTAGGCTCCTTAGGAGCATTTTGAATGCTAATCGTTAACTCCAACACTGCAGTCTTTGATACCTGATGGAATGAGCCCCTCTGCAGGGCATTATGTCAGAGAGGTGGTTATGTACTCTGCAAGGGGGAGAAACAGTATTTTTTCCCCTCATTCTGCGTTGAGTAGCTCACACGCTGAAGCATGAGGTTTGATTGCCCTTATCCAACCTATATGCAGTGGCTGAACATTTTATTAATAGTCATAATCTTATCTGCCTACAGTATAAATCTTACCTTGCAATCATTTTGCCCAGAGCTATAGCCGATTTTAAAGGATAGCACTTCCAGACAGTTTGGTGTATTTCTGAACTGTTCGAGGGCTTTTTTTCGAACCATTATTTCTATTTGACTTTTTTTACCAGGTAATTTTGAATGTGGAAACCCTGAGAATCTGAAAAGCAAATGCATTTGGGTTAGTGAAGCAAAGGATCACGTGGTGGTGAGTAGGCTGTGAACAGCTATTGTTATAACGTAGTGCTTAGTCTCTTATAAGGCAATAAATAATAGATACTAAAGCAATTCACCATCTGTTTTACTTCCTTATCCTGTTTTGATTCTTTCCCATATCTCTAGCTTCCCCTTTGGCCAGTCCTGTTCTCAGCAGTTCTTCTGAAAGTAATCTTCTCCTACATCTCTGATTCAGCCCCTGTAAATCTAACTTAATGGTTTGTTGTTTCACCATAGTCATCAGTCTTCTGAAACCAGAAATTTCCCTGGATTGAGGGCTGGGCAGAAGAAGGATTTTTCTATACCCCAAAGTGTCAGAAGACAGACTGCTTTGATCTAGCATTCCATTTCTTTCATGGTAAACTGTCAGTAAGATTATGTTGTATTTAGTGGTTAGTCTTAACAGTCTGGGATAGTGTTATTTTACAGAGCGCTTCATACATCATCTACCATAGTCAGAAGACTTTAGTCCAGGCAGACCTTCAGATTTAGTTCTCCTTCCTCCAGTTTGCAGAATTATGATTAGAATTAACCTAGGGACAGACCGTATAGAATGAATTCTCCCCCTACTGTAAGGAAATAATGTTATTCAGTATTTTAAATGAATGGAGGACTAATCTTCTTATGGATTCTTTTGAACAGAATATAACCGGTAGTTCCCCACAGAAGTTTGAAGCTGCCTTGCACTGGATACTAAACACTAACAAGGATTTAGGAATATGGTAAGTGGAAGCCCACTGTGTCAAAGTTCTGTTTCTCGATGTTGGCTGATAGGTAATTTGATATCCTCTGTGGTGGGCCCCAAAAGCTCCCATGCCTCGTTAGATTTCAGAAGATAATCTGGAATTGGCTTTGTCAGTGCTTGCTAGGCAAGCTTCCAAATGAAAAGTACAGCCCTGCAGCAAAAATTGGCAACTGAGCTCATTCCTTGGAGGTCTGTTTCCCCAGCCTTTGCGCTGGGGGACATTGTGTTCACAAATGCAGATGAGGCGTAAATCTGAGGTCAGGGCTGCTTATGGCTCTCCAGTTATGTTGTGCTTCCTGCAAGGTTTAGGAGTGGTGGTCCTGGTGTCCTGCCCCCGGTCCTGCGACTACTGTTCTCATTAGACTCGCCCATATGCTCACTTTTCCCAAGATACCTTTTCTTCAGTACAGTTACTGTAGACAGAGCTTCAGTATTGTGTGGAGCTGCATCCTTTGACCAAGAGGTTTATTGGACAGTAGGTAACATCACCCATGCTTTGGGATCCTTTGGAGCAAGTCCCGATGAGGAAGAGAGGAAAATGGATTGTTGAATGGGATCTTTTCTTCGGTGTCAGTTGCCTTTTTGGCAGAACACCCAATACCAATATGTGTTAAAATGAGTGGTCTGACTATGTAGGGTGCTGGTCGGTCATCGATGGGGCTTTTTTCTCTTGGGTTTCTTGGCTAGCAGCCTCTTCAGTGCATGAGAAATAGCAGAAATACTAGGGTTTTTTTCAGGTAAAAAAATACATCATTCAGGCCATAACCTAATGAAAGACTGTATCCAGAGTCCGCAGACATTATTATCTTCCTCTGGGCAGTGTGGGCTGCCTCCAGTCTGTGTTAACTCTGAAGTCTAACATTTGTTTGCATTTTAACATTGCTAAATGTATCTGTGATTAAATGAATTGTAACAGTAGTAACGCTGGAGCTGGTGGGCATAGCTTGTATGAATTCCCACTGCTCGATTTTCTCTAAAAAATTTCTGCAGCTGCTGCTGTGATCTAGGGATCAGACAGTATCTACTGCTTTGATTATTGGTGTGTGGCAAATTCCCAGGACAGGACATAGTTTCCTTAGTGGCAGGTTTGGATTTGTCGGTGGGCTGGGATCCAGAGTTTTCAAATTCATATTTTTATACAGGAGCACTGCTCATGTCAGGAGCTGTGTGATACAATATACTCCCATTTTTTTATTTTCATAATTAGCAACTCTGCCGGCTGTTCGCCAAATGGATCCACTTTCACGAACTCTGCATAGCGTGCAGAATGAGTGTTCAGCATGCTTAAAAACCTGCGGGTGGCATTTTTAGCAAACACTACGTGAGATTATTTTTCTAGGTGCTAGTCTGAGAGGCAGAACTGAAAATGAGCTCTGCACTGGGTGATTCTGCTGCATGTTTTAAATATTTTCATGGAATTTGGATTGTAAATAAGACAAGGGGGTGGGAAACAACTGTGTGTCTCCAGCTACTGTAGAATCCAGTAACCAAATACAAGCTGTCAGCAGTTTGTGAGCTGTGCACTAGTAAATTGAGAAAATGTCTGTGTCTAATAGGTTATTCATTGCAAACCTAGAATGAATTAGTAGCTTCAAAAATAAAATCCCCTTTAGTCCAATTCCTCTGAATCTGATCGCTCGCACTTGGATTACTTGATGCCTGTTGGCTACGAGTATCTAATAAGGAAACCACATCGGTGTAGATCTGTATATAAAGAAGTGAGTTAAAAGCGTATCGGATAGCACAGCAGGTGTGTAGAAGTGATTTTGCGGGAGGACGTGTTATCGATTTTGCCATGAATGCTTTCCGAGGGTGTGTCTGTTTCTCGCTGCAGATACAGTTGATGCGTTGTCACTTTTCTAGCTAAACTGTTTATGCTCATCTGTACTGAGGAAAACAGCACAACCTCCATGGACATTTGCAGTCTCCCTCAACTGCTCTCTCTGCAATTGCTGATGAGTGACTCAGTAAACATTTCCATTTCTCTGTGCTGGGAGGTGGGAATCCAATTTAAACTTTAATCTTCTGCACGCTGAGAGGTGCTGTCAAAGCGTCTGCAGAGGGAGACTTCGGTTTACCAGTGGGAGTTCCAGCCCTGCTGCCTTTTCTAAAGCCATATCCATTCCTTGCTAAGCAGCCAGTCCCAAAATGTTCTGGAAAGACAAGCTGCAAGGATGTTGTTGTATTTTCTGTGTGGTGTACAGAACGAGTTACTGCATCTGCAGTCTGTTTGTTCTCCCTGTCTTGATTAAAGACTGCAGTTGGAGTGTCTGCTCTCTTCTGTGAAGATTTTTCTGCCTCTTCCCATCAGGTTGAAAGGCAGAGACCTTTCGGAACCAGTTACCAAAGTGGAGGAAGTGTTCTGTCTCGAATCGGCCCATCCTCAGATGGGGCTCGGCTGGCCGTTCCCTCGGGGCGGGGGCGGCGCCATTA